TTTGAGAAAATGAATATTACCGCATCCCCAAACTAATATATACTTTGTAGTGGGAAGGTCAAAGTCTTATTTAGAAAAAAAAAGATGATTTGTTTTGAGAAAAAATTTTGCCCTCTGCAAGGTCTGAAAGTCTTTTCCTACGCTTTTTGTTCACAATACGTCAACAAGCCAGCGAAACATAGTCGTACAAGTCTCCAAAAATTGATAATGTGCCCCTCAAGGTGAACGTGTGGCCGTCCTGCTTATAAAGTTTTGATTTCACACAGCTAATTAACCACAAATTTTTCAGTAATGGATTCAAAAAGATCTGTGTCTCAATTTTGAGACTAAATGCCCGCATCACTTGTACGTGCCTTACTAATATTGGGCATGCTAGAGTATCAGGAGCATGTTACTTTCAAATTCCCATCCTTCGAGGTTCTTTTATTTAAATTTTAAGAAAACATTTCAATGGAACGCCTCTCCTACCATGAACGAATATCAAGATAGTGAAATGCATTTTCTCTATTTATTCAATACATTTACTACTTTCCTTATTTGTGTATTGCACACACAAAGTACGTAATGTCGCGCATTTTGAAGGTAAGATCACCGATTGAGATGGATGGAAGATGAACGGCTATAGAAGAGTGTAGACAATTGAAAATCACTGTGAACAAGAAAATCATAAGAATAGATTCTTGAAGAAGTAAAATTTTGGGAAATTTATATATTAATTCAAAATCCGACATATGATTTTCAACCATGTAATTTTTTGAGAACACTATTGTTGGTCTACAAAGGTACCCAAGCAAGTGTAGGAGGAAAGTATCCGCTTCACTTCTAAGAAGATAGGGCGGTATCTATTGTATGCTTGCACATCCCTCTGGCAAAATAATGTTCACAACAGCTTCATCAACAACCATGTCATCAAAAATATGGTCTATTACCCTCATTCTAAGAACGTAGTCATCGTCACTGTTGAACAAATATTCAAAGGATGATAAGTTATAACCCAAAATGTATTGAGTTTTCCATCCGCCAAAAAGAGGAAATCTAGGCCGTAACTCAAGTTCTACAAATTCTTTCATTACATTCATATTCGAAGTGGATATATTGCCATTGGTGTCTCTGTAACGAACTCCAAACGCTGCAGCAGGCAAAACAGTTTTGTATGATTTAATAGATGCCTGGCCAGAACGACCATCTTTCTGAAATTCATAGCCTGAGAATGATCCTTTCAATTTTGCTCCGGTATGGAGCACGTGTATACTTTTTTCGACAGCGATATTTCCCCAATGAGATAATTGTACTGTTCTCTCTAATCGATTCACTTCACTTCTAATCGATATTCTTCTCTCTAATCGTTTGATTTTCATAACGCACAGTCAACAGCTCTTTGGAATGACCAGAAATATCTTCAAATGGGCCATCTTTGATTTTATTTGACGAGACAGCGTAAGATTTGATCTGAGTATAAGAAATGATGTTCGATGTTGCCAATTTTACTTGAGTTTTCTATACTTCATAAAGCCATTAATAATCAGAATTTAATGACTGGAAGTGAATTAAAAAAATGTTTAACTTAACGTGAACCGGTTTACAACCCTATCTGAGACACTATGTCTCTCTTATATACTAAACAAAATTTTTATTTTAAATAACAATCAGACATTGTCACGCAGGCTGATGAAAGCATTAAAAGCATTTTTACAATTGCCTTTTATCAATATTTTGAATTACTTTCAAAAGTAAAACTTTGCTCAATAAGTGTACATCGAAAAACTGTTGGCAGAGCTGCATATAATTTGTTGATAATAGCAACCCAGAGAAGCTATGTGTCAAAACTTTATAACATTCTGATAATTAGTTTACAAGCTTCACTCGGTCTACTTAATGTCCCTCTGCTGTGAATTTCGTTCGTTGATTAAACGTTGCTTTTGGATGAGAAAAACCACCATCAGATACCCGCTTGAAAGGTGTTATGGTGACTACCGTCCGTCGAAAAAATGAATTTGTTAATGGCTTGTTAATTTTAAACAAAATCGTATTGACACTGATAATACTGAACTCTCGGATCGCCCGCATTTGCCACTTGATCCAGAAAACATTAAAAAAATGCAGAAAATCTTTCTTTAGAATATACAAAAATTGATGTTATGTGAGATAGCTGAGATCGTAAAGACATCAAAAGTCAAGCCCATCTATCAATTTGCTTGTCCCTGAGAAAGGACTATTCGAGCGTTCGGTCGCATAGATCGCA